GTCTCCGCGGCAGAATCTCAGGCTGGCCGACGCCGGCAAGCTCTCGTTCCCTCGCCTCGCTTGAGAGGAGATAAGAAATCGGCCTCTTCTGTCACAGAGGCAAACGCTTTTGCAGATGCGTCGCCTCGCCCCTTCTTCCCAATGACTGTATGTCTACACACCGGGCATCCCGCGAGAGGCATTTGCACAGGGCCGCTGGGCTCGCGCCAAATTTAATTTTCACCTGAGGTCCTGCAGCTCTTCTAATAAACACTATTAAGACGCAAAGGTAGTAAGTGGGAGTTGTCTAGGACATTAGAAACAAATCAATTAAATATTATTTTAAAATATGTGGAGGATATGATATGGGCTGGCAGATAAGAAAAAGTTCATGTGCTAAACCTGGAAATTTTGTTTGCAATCCGGCCTGCTTCCATATTTTTATTTATTTATTTTATTCATTCGATTTATACCCCGCCCCCCTAGACAGCGTCTACTCGGGCGGCTTACAAAATCATAAAACATCATTAAATAACACAAACAGCACAATCAAAACAAACAACATTCATAATCATAAAGACATTTATGGCTTCCATGGGTGTTTGGGAATGGGAAGGACTTTTATGAGCTGGGGTGATTCTCTGGCCAGCGTTAACCAGCCTTTGATTTCAGAGAGTTATCACTGCTTAATGTCTTTTTTCCTCTCTTTTAGTCTGTTGATGGCAGTTATTTGTTTGCTGTTGTTCAGAACTGTAAGTGATGAAATATCTTTATTTATTTTCTCTCTTATAAACGTCTCGGAGTGAGTTATTGAGATTTTAAGTGCCAGGTAATGAAAAAAGGTTAGATTCTGGGGAACTTGTAGTAATTCTTCTCTGTGATTCTCAGTACTTACTGCATGATGAAAGGGAATTTTACTAGAAACTGCAAGAGCAACTTCTGAAAACAAGAATGGGGAACATGAGACTCCACAGATGTTGCTGGATTCCAACTCCGCTCAGCCCTAGGCAGCAAGATGAACAATCAGGGATGCTTGCGATCAATGATGTCTGCGGGTTAACATGGTTTCCACCTTGTTTTTTTTTCCCCCAGTGGCTATCGTTTCATTTTCACAGGAGGCCATATTGGATATTTTTTAGAACCTTTCCAGGTTGAGACAGAGCTTGTTTTCTTTACTACAACTGTAAGAATCCCCAAGTCACTGGGGATTCTGGGAACTGTAGTCCAATATGTAAAGGAAACTTCAAAATTCTAAAAACTTTGATTCCAACTTGGAAAATCTATGAATACAGAAACAAAATAGAGAAAACCCTCTCCACTCTCAAAGTCCTGGACCGTCTTAAAAACTCTATTATATCATGTTTTTTTCTGAATTTACCCCAAATTGACCCCTAGCCCACTAATGCTTATGCTATAATATGCCTTTCAAAGGACCGCAAGATTTTGTTGTTTTTGCTTTTGTTGCAGCAGACAGATAGGGACAGCCACTAGAAACTGGATTAAAGAGAAAATTAAACACAAGTCACCTTGTGCTAGACTGGAAGGAAAATCTGAAAAGCCATCAAGCAATACCTTTATTAGAATCAACCAAATATACACAGCAGTGGCCAAGCTGAGGCTGTGGAAATCAATGCCCATGGCATCTTTAATTCAAGCTCTAAGAATTACAGGGTTTTAAAAAAGATTTTTGTTATAGCAAGTCTCTCATGAAAGAAAAAAACAAGTAATCAGTCCTTTCTAAATGTGTGTGTGTGTGGGGAGAATACTTGTAGATGAGTAACACAAATTACATTGGGAGACAAGAACTCTGGCAGTACCTCATTACCATTGAAATGACTTCTAGATGATTTCAATGGTAATGCGGTGCTGCCAGAGTTCTTGTCTCCCAATGTAACTTGTGTTTCACAAGATAACAAAGTCTGCTACTTATATACTGCTTCATAGTAATTAAAGCCCTCTCTAGGCAGTTCACAGTTTAATTATGCAGGGTAAAAATCCCTCCCCACGTGAACTGGATACTCATTTTACTGACCTCAGAAAGACAGAAGGCTGAGTCAACCTTGAGCTGGCTACCAGGGCCCATTGGAATTGAACTCAGATCACGAGCAGTCTTGACTGCAGTACTGCAGTTTAACCAGTGTGCCACAAGGCTCCATACAGGCCCAGTTCAAGATAGCTTGCTGTCTAAGGCGAAAAAAACCTAAGAAAATGACACCGCCTCCCATTCCATGAACAAAAACTGACTGATGAGACAATTGAATACTGTATTTATTCAGTTGAATATTTGACAATGGGACAGTGACCTCCAACACATCTGAATGTGCCAAACAGGTCGGTCTTCACCAGCTTCTTCATTCAACACCTTCGTCCCACGTCTCTGCATCTGCCGTCTAAGGCGTCTCCTGCACTGTGGTTAATGGCAAATCTTGTCCTACACAAAACTTGAGCCAAACCCCCACTTTACCTGAAAAAAAACAGCCTAGGGAACTGGCTAGCCTGGCTCTGCAACTTGCACAAGGTAATAATGAGGCGTCCAAAGTTTACTGCTGTTTTGTGGCAGATTAGCCAAGCAGAAGTTTGAAAAGGGGGAAAGTTGTTTTTAAGCAAAGGCACCAGAAATGGAAAACAAAGACCCACACAGACACAGTTTCTTGATTAAGCTTCTGCCTTATGACAAGAGATGTAAAACGTTACTTTTGGAGGATTATGACACCCAGAGTGCTTAAGGCTATGCTGGCTGGTGTATTCTCTTATAGTCCAAAAAAAGCTATTTTTTTTAAATCTCTGTTTCATGGCAGCATTTTAGATTGTATAACATCGTTTGCATTTCTAATTAAAAATAAAGGTTTCGTTTCAATCAGCTGAAGATTTTCTGTTGCCTTTTCTTACACATGCAGATGTTTTATGAACCGAACCTCCGTAGTCACAACCACGCATTGGTGGGTTCAACAGAGCTTACTCCAGAGGAGCTAGCCATAGGATTCCATAGGTTTACAGCCAAGCTTGGAAACTGTCAGGGGGTGGGGTGGATTTAATAACTCACTTGGCCATTTGGCCTGTGTGTATTTTAACTACTTTCCGTATGTAAACAATGAGAAAACAGGACATAAAAGCCAGGGGAAGAAGAGGTGGCCAAGGCAGGGGTGGAGGGACGTTGCAATGACAAGAGTGCCACAGGCCATAGGTATGTGTGCCGTACAACCTGCCCATATCCCAGAAACTACAGTAGCCAGCTGTCCCCGTACAACCTGCCCATATCCCAGAAACTAGCCAGCTGTCCTTGTGTGTGATATGCTGTCAAGTTACATCTGACTTATAGTGACTGACATGGGAGTTTTCAAAGTAAATGAGCTACACCAGTGGTTCCCAGCCTTGGGTAACCCAGGTGTTCTTGGACTGTAATTCCCAGAAGCCTTCACCAACAGCTGTAATGACCTGGGTAACCCAGGTGTTCTTGGACTGCAATGAAATAGAAGCCTTCACCAACAGCTGTAATGACTGGGGTTTCTGGAAGTTGCAGTCCAAGGACACCCTGGTTAACCAATATTTGAAACCACTGCATGTACCTGTCCTGTCCTGTCCATGCAGTGGACAAATATTATATCCTACCACAAGAGTTGTAAAATTCAGGTCCTAGTCTAGTTGACATCTGCATGTGGAATGCTGTCTTTTTTTCCTTCAGGAAGCGAGGTGTCTTCTCCTGGCTCTGTCTTTGGACTACGATTCTCATCATTTACGAATTTGCTTTGGGGAGGGTGACTTTTTGGGACTAGGAGGGTGCCCTACAGAATACTGTAAATCACAATGAAACATGGTTCCCTGAAATGGGTTTATAACACTGGCATAACAAAGAGCTGGAAAATTCTGCCATAATCTATTGGCATTCAATTCTGTAGTCCAGAATTTAAAAAAAAAAACATTGATGAGTTCAGGAGAAGCTAGGCCTTTTCCAGCAGCTGCTTCTCTGCAAAGTCCCTTCCATTTTAAATACTTTTTGACCTTCTCAATAAGTAATAAACAGAGCCTCAACACCAGTTCTGACAGTCTTATAGTCTTATACTCGGAGGTAAATACTTGTTAGAATTTTGCTCCATCAAGGCAATAATCACTCTGGCTGGTGGATTTTGGGAGTCGTTGTCCAAAAAGAGAACTTTTCTCAGCTCTACCAGCGGTCCGACATCTTTGTTCCCACGGCGGCCAGCCGTCAGCCACTTAATCAAATACCTCTGGCAGCTCCTTTGCTAAGGCATAAATGGAACTGGCACCCTTTGTCATCTGTCCGCACCCTGTGCTCGTGTTATCCATTCTCTGCACGAGTACACTTCTGGATGTGCTCCATTCTTCTATGTCCAATAAATGCCGGATGGTTGCCATTCAGTCCTAAGATGGCAGGATTCTTCCAGAGCTCTCAACAAGCTCCCATATTACACCTGATTCCCTGGAAGTCATACACACAGAGAACCACTACTTATAAAGTTACACTCAAGGAAGTTTTTGCATGTGGTCTTGCTAGGCTTTGCTATTACAGCTCTCCTGCCCAAACATACTAGCCAGGGCTGGTTTTTCAGCTGTTCCTTTAAAATGCAAGCAGGAAGTCTTCCCATCTATGTGCTCAGAGTCACTTTTGTGAACTGTAGGGCAAAAAAACGTAGGCTGACTGGGGGGAAAAAGGGCAAGTCTTTGGTACCAAGTCCCAAGTCCAAGTCTTTGGGACCAAGTCCTGAGTCCCAAGTCTGAGTCTCTATTAAAAACAAGGGTTTCCCCCCCCCCGAAAAAAGGGAGGGTGTAGGTGAGTTTGGAGTCACGAGCTGAGCATGAGTCATTGAAAAAATAAAAAACGAGTCGAGTCACCCAACGTGACCGGGGAGGGTGTAGGTGAGTTTGGAGTCACGAGTTGAGCATGAGTCATTGAAAAAAATAAAAAACGAGTCGAGTCACCAGTGAAACTTAAGGCCAACGTGACCGGGAGTCCCACAACTCAAATCCCCATCCCTGGCAGCTCCCAAACATTTCTCTGTTAGGAGGCTGCAAAAGGATAATCAGCCCCTTTGGTCTCCTCGTCAGCAGGCTGGGGAGTCAGCAGTGGCACCTCGTGCTGCCAGCTGGCCTGCTTTTGCTGACACTCCCGCACGGCACGCTCCAGGCTCTTGCTGATCCACACGGCATGGCGCTTTAGGTTGCCCCTCTGCGGGTGGGCCCTGCCCTTGAGGCCGGCCAAAGTTTGCAAGAAGCTGAAAAGCTGCGACGGCAGAGCATAGACCGGCACCGAATGGAAGAGGGGAGGGATCTTGTCCACCGGCAGGAGCTCCTCGAAGCAGGCAACTATATATTTGTCCCTCGCCTTTCCAACCAGAAAGTCCGGCAGGACACAGTTGAGGGAAGCCAGGAAAGTGCTGTCAGGTTTGTCCGGCGAGAGCAGGGTGGCATTCTGTTCCCAGCCCAGCCACTGGGCACACCCGGCTAGAGCTCCCGGGGAGAAAAGCAGCACCACAACGCCGCCTTCCTGCAGCACCCGATGTTTCTGGGCGTGGAGCCATTGCATGGGCCCCAGGGATCGCATTTCCCCACGGCTCCACAGTTCCAGGGAGACGGAGAGCTGCAGTTGGCTCAGGGCCCCTGCCAGGGTGCCCACCAGACGCTCAAAGCCTCGGTGGTCTGGGGAGTAGAGAAGGAGGACGTGCTGGCCCTGAAACACTCCTGCACAGAGAGAGAGAGAGAGAGAAATAGATACACAAGGGAAACTTGGCTTTCACAAATGCTTTGGAACTCTTGAACCTACACAAAATGGCAACCACCTCTTGCCAGATTTTTTTTAAATGTCTGCTTTCTCCCCAGTCCCTCAGTTATTTGTCACTGCTAAACTTTCCAGCTTTATCCTAAGTAATAAGGGAAATCATTTTTGGCTTCCCCTTTTGTAGGCAAGAGCCAATACAACTGGTTCCAGCAACGTCGCAGGAGTTGGCAGGACGACACATGCTGCCTTCGGGACTCCTTCGGGATTTTGCCTCGAGGTTAACTCCTGAAGCCTTTTCCATGAGTGGCTATAGCCACAAGGCAGTGGAGGTTTGAAATCGGAGTTTTCCTTCTCCTAGATGGGCTGCCTTCCGTGGCTGACAAGCCCCACCTACCCAGCCTGCTTTGGAACTCTTGAAACTACACAAAATGGCAACCACCTCTTGCCAGATTTTTTTTTTTAAATATCTGCTTTCTCCCCGGTCCCTCAGTTATTTGTCACTGCTAAACTTTCCAGCTTTATCCTAAGTAATAAGGGAAATCATTTTTGGCTTCCCCTTTTGTATTGTTATAAATACTTCCAGGATGCAATATCACAATTGGCCACAAGAGGAAACCAAAGAACCTGTATTCTTCTGGCCTGGTGGCAACCCTACTTGTAAGATCTGAGCAATGGTAACAAGCTCCTTTTAAAATGCAATGTTCTGAGATCTGAGTCCACCACCGGATCACCACAGTCTCTGTCCACTGCCATGAGGTCTGAGGCTAATGGGAGTTGGAGTCCAAAAACATGTGAAGGTTCCCACTCTAGCGTAAGAACAAATGAGCGAAATCCGACACTAGGAAAGGTAACATTCTCTTGTCTGAAGGACAAGGCAGGCACACTATGACCCACGAGGCCACCTATGACTGCCACTGCGCCCCTCCCGTAAGTACACCGGTCCCTGCTAAAACTTATTTTTTTTCTTTTTCTTTTAAAAAAGTAGAAAGCTCTTTAGTGGACATTAAGCACTGTAGTTTTACCGTATTTTCTCCTGGCCTGCTTTTAGCCAGGAAAGTTGTTTTCAGTATTAGTACTTGTCATAAGTGAAAGTGACATCTGGGGTTTTTTTGGGGGGGTGGAGGGGGTTCTCCCTGGGCCTAAATCAGGCCAGGGAAGGCCAACAACATTATCCTATAGAGGTGGAGAATGGGATGTCGTGTAAAAAAGAAGACATTTTGTGGCGGTGGGAGATGTGAGGATGGGCACAGCCATCTGAAATCTGGTGGGAGTTTTTACATGTGTGCTGTCTGTGGGTTATGTGGCTGGAAGGGAGCTTTCTGGGCTGAGATGATTGTCAGTTTATCCAGCACTAACCAATCATTCCTTCCCACCTCTGAATTCAAAGAGAGCCGTGTCTCTCTTCTGAGACATCTTTCCCTCACTTTAGTCAATTGGAATCAGTCAGTTTGCTTGTTCTTTGTTTGCGGTTGATCTGTTCACAACGGTAAGTAATGAAACATTTTTATTCTATCTCCTACAAATGTCTCAGAGTGAGTTGTTGAGACTGTAAGTGCCACTTAATGAGAAAGGAATGTGCTGTCTGGGAAGCTTGAAGCTATTCTCTGTGAGTTTCTGTACTTCTACTGCGTAGCGCAAAAATAAATCTTAACTAGAAACTCAAAACTCTGTAATAAGATCTAAAAGGAAAGTATGCACTCCCCTGATCTCTAGCAGTTGCCTACTGCCCATTTCAGCCCCATTTTACTTTTGACTTGAAATATGTCATTCTTCTGCTATTTCAGCCTCTAGCACAAAACAGCTGAATCAGAACTAAATGGAAGTTTGAGTCTGGCCATTTAGAATTAAATACAGACAATAGTTACTTCTTCCACTACATGTGTTAATTTAGATAGAATTATTAGGATTATATTGTAAATTATTTATTTTATTTATTCATTTATTTTATTTATATCCCGCCTATCTGGTCGGTTAAGACCACTCTAGGCGGCTATTGCAATTAGCTATTGTTACTGGAGTTGTGAAGCTTTATTTTACTTCTTTTACAAACATTTGTTGCAACTAATTTATTGGAGAAGGTACGGTACATTCTCACATTTCACTGCCACTGAGTTTCATCTCTTTTCTCTGTACACGTAATAACATAAGAAGGCCACTGCTGGATCAGGCCAAGGGCCCATCTAGTCCAACTCCCAGTATCTCACAGTGGTCCCTCCAGATGCCTCTTGGAACACACTGATACCCCTCCCCTGCATCTGGTATTTTGAGGTAACTTCCTTCTAAGCCTGAAGGTTATATATGCCCATCATGGCTTGTAACCCGTGATGGATTTTTCCTCCAGAAATCTGTTCAATCCCCTTTTAAAGGCATCTAGGCCAGATGCCACCACCACATCCTGTGGCAAGGGGTTCCACAGACTAACAGCACACTGGGAAAATAAATATTTTCTTTTGTCTGTTCTCACTCTCCCAATACTCAATTGGAGTGGATGTCCCCTGGTTCTGGTATTGCATGAGAGGCAAAAGAGCCTCCCTCTATCCATTTTATCCATCCTCTGCATAATGTTGTATGTCTCAATTATGTCCCTCTCTCAGGGGCCTTTTCTCTAGACTAAAGAGCCCCAAACGCTGTAGCCTTTCCTCATAAGGGAGATGCCCCAGCCCAGTCATAATTTGAGTCGCTCTGTTTATGTCATAAACTTCTGATGAAGTAGACTCCAGTCTAGTCCTTGAAACCTATGCAGCAGCAACAACAACAACAACAACAGTGCCGCAAGAGTCCTGGTGGTCGTTACCTCCAGAGGTGTAATCCTCTTTCAGGATCCTGAGCCAGTCTGCAGAGAGAAAGAATGTTAGAAAGGCTTGTAATCGTACCACAGACAGACACAAAAATCAGGACAATGGGGCAAAAAACAACTCAGGGGTAGGAAAATCCACAAAAGGAGCTTAGTCTGTGCAATAAACTGGACAAAGTGGGTGTCACCTAACAATATCAGCAGGTAGAGTTTGCAGCTGGAAGACTGGAATATAGGACTATGAACTACAGACAGGTACCACTTTTGAACAATCTGCCGTACAAAACTACCGTACGGCAGATTTGCCGGTGGAAAATGACTACAATGGGAAACTAGTGGGGTGAGAATAATTTTTTCCACTGTGCTAGGTTTGCTACTGTGGTTGTTATTTTTCTGGCAAAGACTTAGGTTTCCCCCCTGTCCCATGAGGAAAGCATTTCAAAATAGCATCCCACTCACGTCCAGCCTGAAGTGCTAAAATCCATGACTATCTTTTAAAAAAAGAAAGAAAGAAAGAAAATGCAGCCTATTCATCACTAGTTGCTTTTCATTCCACTCTTCTGACTATCTTTTAAAAAAAGAAAGAAAGAAAATGCAGCCTATTCGTCACTAGTTGCTTTTCATTCCACTCTTCCTCCAAGGAGTTAAGGGCAACATATATGTTCTCAGCCCATGTGATCTTCACAATGGCAGAGTTAGGCAAAGGGGTAAAGGTGTGCCTCAGATGACGATACCACCTCCTTCTGGTGCATGTGTCCCAATCCATAAGTAGCATTATAAAGATACAAAAGGCAACACTGACTGCTTTTTGGGGTGCTTTTAGGCACTAAGGTGTCACCTAGACAAAAAGACATGGCTACACAATAGGGAAATGTCTGTGGTTGTTGGTCTTAGGTAACCCCAAACCACAAATGATTCAGACTTCACTCGGAATGGAAATTTTGGACGATGCCTGCAGGTGGCCGATCAGGGGCGTCTGTAGCTTGGGGGTGATGAATATGCTTTGTACACAGAAGGTTGCAAGTTCAATCCCTGGCAAATCCAGGCAAGTTTATGAAAGAGTCCTGCTCAGAACCTTGAAGGGCCACTGCCAGCCTGTGTTGGCAATCCTGGCTGCACAAAACTACACTCGGGCTTCAGTAGAAGGCGGCTTCCTTTGCTTCTGGGGAGAGCAGACCCAACCGCCCGAAGAGGTGGGTCTCCCCATAACATAAGACTGCAGTGCACTAGGAGAATGCTCCCAGAAGTGGAAGACGGGGAGTTTATAGGGTTATGAAAGGCTGGGAGGCAAAGCAGAAGGAATGACCATTGAGAAAATAAAGAAAGAAGCAAGAGAACAAGTGACAACAGTAAGGGGGAAGGGAGGACGGGGGGGGAGCAGGAAAAGTGTCTTGTACCTTTCAGCGCTTCTTTCTTGAGAAGCAACACAAGCAGGATAAAGCAGAGCCCAAACAGAGTTATCATCCAGGCTGGTGCCCAGCGTGTTCGATGATCTGCACACAAGCAGGAGGGTGGAATCAGTGGATTACATTGGCTCCAATCTTATTATTACGCCTGACCCCGATGTGCCCACCTCCCTCACCGCACAAGTGTCCTGACTGGTGATTCCCAGTGCCAAACAAGATAATCTTGAGCTAGGAATTCAATCTTTTGTTAAGAGAGAAAATCCATCTCTTTCTTTTAGGAACCACCAATTTTAGCAGCAAAGTGCTATAAGCATTTAAACCAAGAAAAATGCTTGCCTTAATTTTAGGGGGGGGGATGCCAAATTCTGAAGGCTAATTTTGGAGATGCTAGGGATGCACAAAATAGCCAAAGTGTCTCCAACTAGAGACCCATGGTGGATCTATTAAGAAATGAATGAAGCTTAAGCTTCAGGGCCCCTAAACTTGGAGGGGTCCCAGAAGTTACTTTAGTCCCCTTTTTCTAATGTGGTCGTTGATCTGTCTTTCGCAACACGAATGGTGAATTGCAGCTGTGATTCTTTTAAACAGACTGCAGCAGTGGCCTTTAATCCTCCAAAATAGCTGTTTTTCAAAACTGGAAGCGAACCTCCAGCCCCTTCTAGTTTCATTTCTTTCCTTCCTTTAAAAAAAAAAAAAATTGTCGGTGGGGAGGGCAATTGGCATTTGGGTCGTTTCTGATGTTTCCAAAGTATCCCAGGGCAGAAAATTGGGGAAGCCCAGGTCCTCGGATAATAAGAAGAGGCTTCTATCACATTGCATACTGGTTCTGCCGGAACCAGGGAGCTCTGCCTCCAAAGTTAATCACGTGGTTCTTTGGCGCATACGCTCCAGACTGCAGAATCTGGGTGAGTGCTTTTAGAGCCAAGCCTGGAGTTCTATCTTTCCCAATGCAGCCTCTGCTTTTCCTGATAGCTTTGGTGGGGTTCAAAATCACCTCTCTAGGAGGCATTCCTGTCGCCCCAAGTCCCTCCATTCAGACACTCACATTTCTCCAGTGAACACGCCCAGAGCATGCCAGTTTCATTATCCACTGCTTCCCACAACTGTAAAAAAAAAGATAAAGAACAGCTGGCTTTTGATATCATCTGTCTGAGATCACAGGATCATAGTGTTACAGAAGCACAAGTACTAGATGTTTTTATTTATTTGTTTAGAATATACCACACACACACACTTTTCTCCTTAAAAAGGAACCAAGGCAGCTTTTTTCATTAAAAGACAATATTTAATACTTAAAAAGTTAGTATAGAAATATTAAATCAGATCAAACAAACGGCACGTTAAAAACCAGTAAACATAAGCAACACCAAAACACATTCAAAGCAGTAAAGTACAACAGACCACTTAAAAAAAACCCACTCAGCCAGACAGTCACTCGGGGAAAGCTTGCTTTTCAATGGTCAAGAATAAAGGGAATCATCACCCCAAAAACTTTAAGAGAAGTCTGAACCCTCAACATGATGGGCGGGGAGAACTTCCATAAAATCACACACTGCCTCACACACTGCCTGTATTCAGATTCTCAGTTCGAGATGGTGCCTGTTTGCACTCTCCCCTCACTTTCCAAAACCTCGTCCTTGCACTCACCAGCATGCACTCGCCTGACTGTAGGTCATGCTCCAGGGCTTCTTCCAGGAACCCATTTCTCTGTGAAGAAGGAAGGGGAAATTCACCAAACGTTGCAGAGGTCTCAGCTGGTCAGGGTACATTTAGCGCACAAATTAGGGCCAGCTCTGCCATTCCAGATGTCATGCGAGGGCAGCAAATGTTGGGGATTGGATTTATTCTCATTAAATGTTTAGTACCAGGAAAGAAGAGGGGTGCCCGTGAGATATCCTGCTTCAGGTGGCAAAATAACTCCTGTGGGTTTGGGTGCTGCGGGCCTTGGCTTTTGTGAGGGAAGGGGTGCAATTTGTTGGTCTGCCTCAGGCCACACAATGTATTGGGCCGGCCTTGGTCTGGCCTATCAGAACAAGATGGAAAAGGGAAAGGAAGAAAACATCTTACTGTGCTGGCGGCCTGACTGATGAGGACCCACTTGCCCTCCTCCAAGACGTGAGCAGAAGCGTTTCCTTGGGAACCGGGAGTCTTCCGAAGCAGCAAATGGGGCCCAGCGCTCTCTGGGAGAAAAGAAAACCGTTAAAAAAAAGGTTGGCTGTGGGGTTAACTTGAGCCTGTCAGCTGCCTAATTAGAACTTCAAGTCATCAAGCTAGATATCACTTCATCCCCAGCCACCAACGTACTACTGGCCATTCTGAGTAATGGGAACTGTAGTCCAAGAAAAATGGAGAGAATCTGTTGGGGTAATCCTTCTGTATTACTTAGATCTTGAATCTGGAGGACACCCGGCATGCACAAGGGAGTCTCTGAAGGGCTCCATTTTCCTCTCTATATTAAAGGCCTGGAGTTTCAGGTTAGAGTTTCTGATTCTATGAACGTGTCAAATAGCAGCACCTCTATTGGAGCAGAGAGAGCAAGCCGTCCATGCCCTATCACAGAGAGGTTGCCACAATCATTTGTGGTTGAGATAGTAAATCCTTCCCACCATCATGTCAAGCTAAGGCTGGCCTGGCTGACGTCCCCGTTTGGCCTTGTTCGGAGCAAATCGGGGAAGAAGCTGTCTGCACAATTAGCAGTTGTTTCAATGACTTTAAATATTTATATATAAATAGCAGGCGAGCATGGATCCTATGGGACAGCTCAGAATTTTCACACCTTTTTTTCCTATGGTTTAGTTGCTGTATGCTTTTGAGAGAGAGAAATCTGCTACGCTTTTCAATAAAAAGAGCGCTCAGGGTAGTGATGGGTTGGCCAAACAGATCCGCCTGAGGAACGAGAGCTAGAAACCCCAGGGGCACAAACTAAAGGTGTTGCAGAACCTCTCAAAAGACCAGGCCCAATGGCCCACGTGGAATCCGACAAGGAACCGGCAGAAGGTGTCTGGAGAGACGCTGAGGAAGAGTCATCTGGAAACTTTTGAGCCAAGGAGTGCCCGGAGGAAGAGCTGAAACCCTCAGGGGGAACAAGAATTATTCTCTCAGTGGAGCTAACTGGACTGTCATTTCCCCCTCCCTCCACACTGCCGAAGGGAACTGGAGTTTCAAGAGAGACCCTTGGGCCAGTGCTGGGAATTGGCACTACGGAATGGAGTCTCTCTCCAAAGCCTGTTGTGTTTTCAACCTGTCGGTCTGGATCAAAGGATGGAGGCGCATACATTAAATGAGTAAATAAAGATTTACTCCGGTTGGCCCTCAGAGGTTAGCCCTATGGCCCTCACCTTCTTGCAAACATCTCTGGAGGTAGATGGTTCCATTGCTAATGACCTGCACGCACACACAAAAAAGAAAAGATGGGTTAACAGACTGTGGAGAGAGGGCTGACCCCAAACATTTCACTGCTGGAGGCAAAAGACACAATGGCGCCCCTTCCCTGCATCCTGACAAGGAGTTGCATCTTCTTTCACCCCCTAGCCATGGGATAGCCTTCTCCACCACATCAGATGCAGCAGGCTAGACAATGGGATTCAGGATGGTGTGGTGTACATAAAGGAAAGAAACAGGTGGGAAAGGTTACCAAGGAATACATCCCATTGCTACCAATTCTTAGCATCTTCTGCCTGGGGCAGACACCCATGTCAGTCTAATGGCAGGGCCAGTCCTGGGGAGGTGGGTACTAGTAGTAGTCTATCAAGGGATCCTATGCTTGCAGCAGAAGTTGGTGCCTTTTTGCTCTCCTTGTGACCCCCAAAGTGGCACCTGGCTAGCCCCAGGTGGAAGCAGGGCACGGTCTGTGGCTACACAGCCCCCCCCCATGCAGTAAACTGTGATGGACTGTGTGTTCTGACACCTTTCTATCATGGCCAACACTAAGCTTTTCAGCAATCTGAGCTACAGTAGCTCTTGACTGGAAAAGATGGCGCTAGCCTTCGCTCCTCGTGTGCATCAATGAGCTCGGAGCACCTGCAGCCCTGATGCCACTTCACCGCTTGTCCTTCCTTGCACCACTTTTGATAGGAATTACCCAATGCCTACCGGGACCCTCCCACAAGATTTGCCATTTTGGAAATGCTCTGACCTAGGCGTCTAGTCATCACTACTTGGCCCTTGTCAAAGTCACTCAGATACTTTTGCTTGCCCACACATCCTGCTTCCAACACATGACATTCAATAGCTGATTGTTGACTTGCTGCTTAATATATCCGACCCCTTGACAGATGCCGTTGTAATTATATAATCAATGATATTGATGTATTCACTTCATCTGTCAGTGGTTTTAACGTTGTGGTGATCAGTGTATGGCAATACTACAAAACACTGGCAAATACACACCCCAAGCAACACTAATGAGGTCTGGCTAAGTGGCTTATGTAAGCAGGAAAAATAATGTAGTCTCCTAGAGTGGTCCATCGGTCCAGATAGGCGGGGTATAAATCAAATAAATAAATAAATAAATAATAGGCTGCCTTGGAGGAGAGGTGTGACTGTGAACCAGCTGCCTAATTTGAGACCCCTGTACTGTAGTTCTTTCTTCTTATTCATCAAGCCACAGCACAACTGAAATGCAGTTACATAGGTTTGCACTTATCTAAATTTTGCAATGAAGTTGCCCAATTAAAGAAAACTATGCAAAAATGGGGTCCAAGGGGAAAGTGTAGACAAAACCTGCATATATTCATGCATAGAATGGACATGCATTATGTGATGGAAAAGCTTTGCAATATAAGCATATTAGTCAAACCTGCATGCAAAAATGCAAGTACCAGGAGACACAGGCATGAAAATATGTATCCATCTTCATGCAGAGGTTTTTAAAAATCCACACAATGATGCAGAAAAGAAATAAACAAACACTAGTTAACCAGTTGCAATTATGAAGTTCTTACCTGCACACAGAGGTTGGGATGTGGTCTCAGTCCTGGAAATTCTTGTGGTACCTATGCAGTTCAGAAAAAAAACTTGATAAGTCACAATGACATCCCCAGAATGGGTTGGAACCCACCGTTATTTGTGTAAATATAACATGTGGGCCCTGATTTTTAAACATACATTCAAACATAACAAACAAACCCCAAAAGCGAATGAGGCACCACCTGAAACAAGGAATAAATATTTATTTGGTTCAGTTCAGTGGTTTTTCCAAATCAAGAGCCTGAAGAAATTATAAGGGAGGGGGCATGAGACAGTGAAGTTTTCATAATAAAAATACTGTAGTATATATTTATCAGCTTGAACAAATATCTGTATTAGATACCATAAGCAGAATGTAGGATTTCTCAAGGAAAGCAACTTGTGCTTGTTTTTTTAATTAACTTTTCTGCTTATTTTTAATTTTAAATTATAAATTGATATGTGTGTTTTTTTAATTTAGGGGTTGGGATGATATTACATGATGAGGGGGGAAATGTGATGGATTTTTATTTAAAAAAACCCTCAAAAGTACAGGGAATGATACCAAAAAGTTTTGGAACCCCTGTTTTAATTCGTTCCTATAAAGTCTTGAAATTAAAATTCAGGTTAGCCCTTATTATTTTTCAAATAATGATCCCAACGTGACCTGAAACTTTAGCCTTCTTCCAGTCTCCAACTTGTAGACTGGGGACTCTCTACTTCACCCATAGAGTATCTTATTTTCTTCCCTCTTACCATGCCTGCTTTTTTCCCCTCTACTCACATGTAGAATGAGAGTCATATGTAGCTGGGGGTGCAGTGGATGGCAAGCACTCCGTTCCCCTCTCCAGCAGGGAACTATCACCCCTGAGAGGTCACATGGAGCAGAGATGGAGCAACTGAGGGTCCCTTCAAAAGCTTCCAGGTCAAGGTGGCTCTGGGCCCAGGCTCTGGACAAAGCTTCAGCATCTGAAAAGGCAAATCCATATTTGGAACAAAGCATGCTGCCAATCAACCTTTCAGGATAAAGAGACTTCCAGGCAAGAAATATTCCTTCAGTAGAGCTGGAAGTAATGAATGACCAGCAACTTTGCTTCCTGCAGTGTCTCTGGGGGTGGGGGTAGGTGTGGGGAAGGGAACAGCAGTGCAAAAAGCAAGTTTTATTTCCAAAATAATACAACTAGTGAGAAGAAAGAGTTCTCACTGATGCAATGAGTAACATTTTCTAGTTCCTTTCTGGAGGCACTCTGATAGGAATTGTCAAGTTTTGTGCCCTTTCCTTACCATTCCTAAGTCAGTCTCCCCTTGATAGGCAAATGAAAAAGGTAGTGAATAATGAGAACTGCGAGGAGTTGGGGTTTTTCCCCAGAAAACTGAATGTAATGCATTACTTTTTGAATCCTACAACAAATAGGAACGGATTACCTTTTAAAAGGAATGGTCGAAGTTCAGCTGTTCAGACATGCATGCCTCAACCCTCCCTTCCATATTACAAGTACCATAACAACAGCTCTTAGATCAACAAACTCAGAATAAATGCTATTATTCCGGCTTTCAAAAACAAACTAATATCCAATTAGGAAATGTATTGAATGTCTATTTTTAACCTCTGCATACTTGCCTTGAGAGCTAGAAAGCCGAATTAATCAATACAATTTGCTTACTGCTTGCAAAAGGGCACAGGTGGGTTCGGGGAGGGTCTTCTTGGTCTTCCACTTCGGGCCAAACCTATCGAAACAACACCCAAGACAATAAGAAGGAGCCATGAGGTCATGCCCTCAAGGATTGATGCTGGGGAACAGGTACTACCTTGGTGCATTCATTTTTATTTGAACTACAAATCTCAGAATTTTCTACTCTGGGAGTTTCGCCTGCGAGACAGACACTTAAATTATGCTTGCCTTGGGAGAAGGGCAGGCTGGAAGACCTCACGGCCCAGGACAGGCCAAGCTTACGTCTGGTTTTCTGTTGAAAAAGGAAGCTGCTCCTGGCGCTTACTGGGAACTCCCAAAAAACACTGGGAGCAGCTTCCTTTTCCTACAAGCCTAGGCTTGGCCAACCCTGGGATATGAGGCCCTCCAGCTCGGCCTTCTCCTAGGGGACCACAATTTTGGAGTCTGTCTGGCAGGTGGAACTCCCAGAATGAGGAAGCCTGGGATCCGGAGCCCCAATGGAAATGAATACAAATTACTGCAGAGGAGAAGGAGTAACAACAATCCGGTCCATTGCTTTGCAGAAGATCAGATGTCAGTGTCTAAAACTGGGTTCTCTTAAAGATAAGCCAAGTAGTTCGTGCAACCAGTTAGGTGCTGTAAGCTTGTGGTGGGTGCAGTAGCAAAATTTTGGTTCCAACCCTACCTTTATTTACTTATCAGCTGGGGTGTGTGTGTGTGATTCAGTTTACATTTGGCCAGAATTTATGCACATTGTATCTCCGGAAACATAACATGGACCAAAAGACAAAAGTCCGGCGGGCAAGGTCACAATGGAATTGGGAGGCAGCAGCAACGAAGTATGTTTCAAATATGTGTAGTATTTTGATAATGCATATGGAAAAGTTCTGTACACTTCAAATGTCAATGGGAGAAAATGCATGCAGCTGAAAAATGTCCACATACATAAGCATGAATTTCCATGCTGGGGTGAAAGGTTTTGTGGAGGCCTCGCAATCTGATACGCGTCCAAATTGAAATGAGCACCAGCTTGAATTCTGTAGATGCTCTTATTTATTAGCTTATCTATGAATCCATCTGTCTGTCTCTATGTATTTTAATTTCATGCAAAAAATAGTGCTTACTGTTTTAAAGAAATCATTACAATTCAATAAGGAGCAATTGAACATCAAGGAAGCAAAACAAAAAGGTTGTGGGCATTAGGCATAATAACACATACACAGCGTCACCAAAAGTGCTCAGTAGAGCTACTTTAATGGATCAAAAGTACATTTAGTGAATGGTTTTTTAAAAAAGCACTCTACTCTTCTGCACATATATCCTCACAATTTTCAGTGTGGTAGAGTGGACAGAGTGACAAACTAGGACTCTGGAGAACAGGGTTTGAATCCCTGCTTGGCCACGAAAACTCACTAGGGGAGGGTAACGATTAAAACTATTGACAAACTAGGACTCTGGAGAATAGGGTTTGAGTCCCTGCTTGGCCACGAAATCTCACTGGGGGAGGGTAACGATTAAAACTACTCTTTAAATATCACAGTTACTTTGAAAGCCCTATTAGGGTCCCTATAGGTCGATTCTGAATTGATGGCACAGGACACACCCATTTAAGGAAGCCAACCAGTGAGCCCAGAAATTCAAATCGGGGCTGCTTTGTGTGTGTTTTCTTTTAAAGTGATAATGTAATAGTTGCAGCAGGAGGGAACAAATGTATTCAGATGTAATAATGGGGTTCAGCAATACAAAGAGTAGTGGGAATGTAAATCCTTACCTGCAGGCATAGACAGGGAAGCACCCAGGAAATAGGTATGTTCACATTCTCAGGCCCCTGAAAATATAAGAAAGGGCATCAGGAAGAGTGAGTCACAGAAACTCCCCTGGGGTTCAATTCTCTCCTGCCCCAGTACTTCTTAGGTATTAATAGGATTCAGCTAAAGAGAGTTCACGAGAAGAGAAGACTCCCTGGAAAAGACCCTGATGTTGGGAAAAAGTGAAGGCAAGTGGAGAAGGGGACGACAGAGGATGAGATGGTTGGACAGTGTCATCAAAGCAACCAACATGACTTTGAGCCAACTCCGGGAGGCAGTGGAAGACAGGAGGGCCTGACATACCCTGGTCCATGGGGTCACGAAGAGTCGGGACACGACTAAATGACTAAGCAACAACAACAAACAGAGTTTAGGTTCTCCTTTCTGAGTTTCAAGAAGCCAGATCAAGTAAGAGAAAAAGCTATTCCTTGTGTTTATTTGTTTCTTTTCAAAGAAGATATACCTGTTTAAGACCAGGGTCTTTCCTGCATGCTGCAGATCAATCAGATGCAACCTTACCAAACAAAGGCAGCAGGCAGTTTTTCTGTTTCAACATCTATAAATTTTCCATGATAAGGAAAGAGAAACAGCAGTAGGAAAACAAGGGAGGGAAACAAAGGGAGACACCGTCACTTTGATCCCACACTGTAAAAGGACGAAATATGTATTTATTGTAAGGTGTGATCTGACCTTGAGTAGGGAAATCACTCTTACGTTCATTGTACAAAAAAAAAATTCTGATTGAAGAAAATTGTCTTTTACATTGGAACTGGAGATAAAGAATATGGGGTAGCCCAAAGGTGATTTGGGAGTACAGAAGCAGATAAAGACATTTCTCAATTTGCTGGTTGAATTTTGATTATAAGTTTTGCAAACAGATGGACCTGGGAACTAGAAACGAACTTCTGCATTTCATGTTACAGATTATATGTCTTCATAGCATTGCTGTTAACAATGAGACCTAGAGACTTAACTCTTTCTTGTGCTTGAAACATGAAATTCTCAGGAACACAATGTAGAAGCTTCTGTGTTGTTATTTGTGGTGAGGTAAGAATTAAGGGACTGCCCAACCACCTTATATATCTCCTGAGAAATCTATTATGTGGGATAGGAAGCAACAGTTAGAACTGGATATGGAACAATTGATTGGTTCAAAATTGGGAAAGGAGTACAACAAGGCTGTATATTGTCCCCCGGCTTATTTAACTTATATGCAGAATACATCATGCGGAAGGCTGGACTGGAGGAATCTGAAGCCAGAATTAAGATTGCTGGAAGAAATATCAACAACCTCTAATATGCAGATGATACCACTCTGATGGCAGAAAGTGAGGAGGAATTAAAGAACCTCTTGAAGGAGGAGAGCGCAAAAAAATGGTCTGAAGCTCAACATAAAAAAAAACCTAAGATCATGGCCACTAGTCCCATCATCTCCTGGCAAATAGAAAGGGAAGATATGGAGGCAGTGACAGATTTTGCTTTCAGTTAGTAAGACGCCCATGGATAAAGAGTGGGCTTGGCACCTCTGTGGCGGGACCATGTGCCCCAGTCTGAGGAGGCCCACGAGAAAGTCCACGGATCATGAACGGTTTAGAGCAGAGGTCCCCAACACCCGGTCCGTGGCCCGGTGCCGGTCTGTGACCTGAGCCGGACCAGGCTGTGAAGACAGACCTCCTGCCCCAACTCCTGCACGCACGCACCCCCACACAGCCTGTTTGTGCCTGTGCACGCGCTCCAGCATCCCTGTGCGAGCGCTGTGCTGCCATTTGCGCATGCACACAAGTATGAGCGCACCCGCACAAATGCCATGCCACTGTTTTGCGCATGTGCACGAGTACGCTCACACTCATTCACGCAAGAGAGAGAGCACTCATTCACACATACAGATGAGCACAGGGGGTGCCCCGCCTTTCCCAAGCCGGTCCGTGGGGTGAAAAAGGTTGGGGACCCCTAGTTTAGAGTGAACCCCTAAAGGTGAACTCTTTTTTGCTGCCTGAGTTAAAGGGAAAGGTTGGGGACCCCTAGTTTAGAGTGAAGCCCTGATGGTGAACTCTTTTTTGCTGCCTGGGTTAAAGGACAGTTACGTTAAATGTAAAGAAATTGAGGGACCCGTTGGTCCAAATGAAGTTATTCATAGTACTCCATTGTTTGGAAATAAAAGCATTTGTGAGAGATAATTTACTATTATCCATGGTTTTCAGTATCCACAGCGGACCCTGGAACCAACCCCAGTGGATATGGGTGTGTGGAGGTGTTTTCCTACTGCATATATTTTTTTTTCTTTGAGTGCAGTTTCCTGGATCATCCAGGTACCAGGTCCACTGGTGGTACCAGCTGGACAATTCTGAGAATTTCAGCCCAGAAGAAGTAACTATGGCGATCTCTAACCTAGCAGAGATCAGGCAGGGCCCTTCACTTACTGTCAACATGGTTGTCCCTTCGCCCATGCTTTCAAATCTACTTGTCTGATTCAGATACAGCAGTAGGTGGAAATGTAGTCCTTCAGGTACATCTGACACATGAAGCACAGCCTCCTCTGGGCCCACTGAGGCCTCCAACTTGGGCACTGAAAGAGAAATGTTGTCATCAACGTTCCCGTATGCATTCACAATTCCACAACGGATCCATGGCATCCATAAGTCAACAGTCCTATGACTGAGCCAGAAGTTGGAATGTTCCCCACAACGGATCCATGGCATCCATAAGTCAGCAGCCAGAGGTTGGAATGTTCTATTTAAAAAAACAACAACATGCTGCCCGGCAGCTTACCTTGTGACTATCAGTTTCCTGATCTCATTCCATTCTCTTTTGCAGATTCCTTACCACTTGCCCAGAGAAAATAAAGGGAAGTATTTTTTTTGCTCCCATTTGAAGCCAGTTCTGATGTTGCACCTTGGAAATCTTTATCTTAAAAATTGCACAAGAGGAATCAAATAAATATTTCTTTTGCCACTTAGGACTGACAACAGAATGTCAAAAACCCTGACATATTCCCGTCAAAATACTCCTTAAAAGGCAGTAAAATGTACCTTTCTAAAGGTACACCCTAAAAAGTCACCTTCTGATTACTATTTGCATTCTTCATTGTCCAAAAATATAATTCAGGTAACTATGTTGTTTCTAATTGGTTACTTCCAAGTTCAGAGTTGGACGCACCGGGATTCAAAACTAAAGATGTCTGAAGAGTTAAGCACTGAAAACCCTGGATATGTGCATATTAATAGGTCAGCTTTTGGTTTCTCTCGCGTCTGAAGTTCTTAAAAGAACTTTCCCTCCTGGATAAAAAGCGATTACCAGGAATTTGAAATCAAAACTGAAAGTGAACGAAATTCACACGGATTCCTATTCCTGAGTAGCCCTTTGTCAGGAGCTTCAGGTGGCCTTCTTTCCCCCTACTGTTTCTACTGAAAACTTGGCATATAATGTTCATAGCAAGAGTGAAGAGGGCAGATACCAATCAGGATTGCAAGGGGGGAGCAGAATTAAGAAATATTTTCTTCTTTTTTGGACAGGAATGTTCAGAATCCCTCCACATTCATGACCACTGGCACTCAGACAAGGATCTGAGGACATCTGCATCCTCTTATCACTGGAGTGCCTTGTAATGTGTGCCTAGGTGGGAATGGCAGCAGGTCAGGACAGAACATGAGAGGGAACAGATGGGAAATAATGGCCCATTTTCTTGTATAAACGGGATTAAGAAAACTACTGTAGTTAGCCTAGCAGTCTCTGATTGAGATCAATGCTTTGCTCTCCTGCTGCCTCAAAGGGACTCAGCCTCCCTCATGAGGAGACACTGGGTCCATTTGCCATCCTATGAAGCTGTGCCGCAAGGATTCACTCTGTTCATGCCCCAGAACTACACTGTCTCTTTGCTACAGTGTAACTTTTAGATAGGGTAGAGATTTGCTTTTATTATTTTCTGGTGTGTTATCTTCCTGAATGCTTGTGGATCTATCTTCACATTTGCTCCTGTATTTTGAAAAAAAAATCTTGTAACTCTTTGGAACTTTTACCCCTTTGCCATTTTGAATTGTTTTTCTTTTTAATGAATTACAAAAAATCCTTTCACACAGCTGTCTGGATTTTCAACTGAAAGGGTTTGTGGTATCGAAGCATATTGCCCTCCAGCGAGCTGGACTCTCAATTTGCCGACTTTGGAAGAATGGAAGGCTGAGTCAACCTTGAGCTGGCTATCTGAGCCTATCAGGATTGAACTCAGGTCACGAGCGGAGTCCTGACTGCAGTAGTGCAGTTTAACTACTGTGTCACGAGGCTCATCAATCACACATCCTGGAAATGAACCAAACCAGAATGATTCTAACTGCACCAACCCTCCCCCCCCCCAGAAAAAATTACAGAATCTCCTGACATGGATCCAGAAAGGTATGAGTAGGAATGCTCTGAAAGTGGTCTGGTTCACTCCGACAACAGCCAGCCAGAAAAAGAAACAGCCTGTCCCTGAAGCAGACAAAATAGTAGGACAAATTCCTGTCTGACTGCACCTTTCATCTCAGGAGAGATAAGATTTTATCACCTTCTAATTGTGAAGCTGCTGCCTTATATATATATTTTGCCTCTCAAAGTAAAATCCGGGCAATAATGGACAGGAGCATAAATGGAGAAGAGCTGCTGTTCAGTGGCAAAGCACATATCTTTTTTAATGCAGAAGGTCCAGGGTTGCAAATTAGGTAATTCCTGGAACTACTATGAAAAACAACTGTTTGTGCACCTGTAGAGCTGCTGCCACCAGTGCAAACAAAACAGTACCAGATAGATCAATGGTGTGACTTAGTACGTACTAGGGAACTTCCTATGTTGCTTTCGAAGATCACACCACGGACCAAGAAGAAGCTGTTGAAACGGTATCTGCCAGCACCTTTTCTTTAGCCAATCAAATTGTATTCTCGAACTCCTACTGTGTCTCCAGACATTTTAGTCACTCTTTTTAATAACCTAGTTTAAATAAGGGAACTGCCAGGAGTCTGGTGCCAAGTTCTCCAATGCCACGCAATCTGAACAGATTATGCAAATAAAGGTATTACAAATCTTCATCCAGTTTCTAAATTATCGTCAGCATACATGTACAACATTTTCAAATGTCTCTCTACTCTTCTGAGGACTAGAATTTTGCTACTTAAAAAAATGAAAGCTGTGATCCTCAGAATGTCAAGTCTCTAAAAAGATTCCATGCTTGCATGATAATCGTGGCTCTTACCGTACTAGCAAAGTCTCAGCGATGATGGCTTACATAGGATTCTTCCAGACATACTTTTATTGGAGTTTTTGCACCCACATATGCTGCCTTTAGCAAGTTTGGCTGGAAAGGACTTTTTTGGGCTGGGGTGACTGCCAGTCTATCCAGCACTAATAAATTGTTCCTTCCCTGCCTCTGAATTCAAAGCCTCTCTGCTCTGAGGTTTCCCTCTTCTTTCGAGTCTGTTGAAGTCTATAGCCGAAAGCAGTCATGTTTGTTGATTTGCTGTTTGATCTGTTCAATTGTAAGCAAATGAAATTGTTTTTCGTACTAACGTCTCAGAGTGAGTTACTGAGATTGAAAGTACCAGTTAATGAGAAAAGCAATGTTCTTTTTCTGGAGAACTTGAAGCTATTCTGTTCCATGAGTTCCTGACCTTCTGCTGCTCAGCCAGAGAAATTTAACCAGAAATTAAATTGCAACAACATTTTCCTTTGTCCTGCACAGGATTGCTGCTGATTAATTTGCAGCATCCAAATGATGTTCCTCTGGTTCTGGTTTGTTTTGCACAAATCACAATGAAAATCTGATGCATTTATTCCCCTAGAGATGTATTTTTAATCGTGATTTTTTTTGTGCTCAATTATTCTCATTCTCTTGTGCATATCATGCACAGAATGTGTATTGATGCCAATGGGATGTCCTCTCTGGTATATATAGTGATGTACATGACAGCAGGGATTTATCATCTCACATAGCACCCTTTTGCCCTGTTATTATTTCATTTCCATTTCTGCTTGGTCATGTTCTCCTAGCTCCACAATAGCAAATTTTCCTTTTCTTTGTTTTCATTTCCTTTTTGCTATTTGGGGGCTTTTAAAAAAGCAGCTACATTGAATTATGTGTATTAATGGCAGGAGATAAAACAAAACAGACAAAACATCTCACAGCTGCAGGAGCCTTTTCTGCTGCTGTGGTTTTAACTTGATACCTGGTCTTCTATTTGGGTGGGTGGTTTGTTTGTGTTTTTTTTGGCAATACAGTAATGCAATTTAGCACTAAATCACTCTTGCACTATGCCACTTTTTAAAAAAAATGCTGAATCAATGCAGTGAGATTTTGGACAGGTAGAGAAGGTACAGAAGGATACAACATCTATCAGTTACAATAGCCTTTGCTATGGCTTTTGCCAGCAAATCCATACAGTTTCTGGAGTTTAGCATTGCATCTTTCAGCACTAACCCACCACTGTTAAAAAAATTGCACCATTCCTGTTATTTGGTACAGTACTTTGCAATGTTGCACCCCCAAAACCAGCTCAAGGTGGATAGCATATCAGAGTATGGAAGTACGTAAGTACATAATGAGTGGAAAAACATAAAAGATTGATTTGCAAATGTGTGAAGTCCCTTCTGATCCTTCCACATGGAAGCTTACGATTTCTCAAGAACACACCTGATTGCCAGATGTTGCTACAGTGTGCAGACAAGAAAAAAAAGGAGTATTTTCTCCCCCAAAAACTTATCTGGAACTTTAGTTTGATCTGGCTGGCAGTTCTTCACATGCTAAAAAAAAGGTTTCATGGGGATTTCCTGAATAAACTAAAGTTACTGATCGAACTGGCTGCAGCTTATGTGCTTGATCCCTATCAGTGTCTCAGTTGGGGAGAAGTACAGTATTGGCAAATTGAAGGCAGGGCTACATACCTTGGCAGAGGCGAACAGCATCTTGAGCTTTATGCCAGGTACAATCTGTGGGAAGGAAAGGCCGCAGAGTAATCAGGCCAGGACAAGAGACTGGTTTTAATTCAAAGTTTGATCGGCTTCTAATTGAGGGAGGCTTGAAGGCAACTCACCTGGGCCGTAGTGTGTGAGTTGTAACAAACCCGCAGACGGATAGGAAGGGTTGGTGAAGGCTGTGACATACAACTCCCCACGAATAGCAACTGGGAAGCAGTCAAAATGGAGGAAACCCTAGGAAGGAAAGGAACAGAAAAGTCAGTAATGGATGGACAACAACAAAGGGTTGTGGCACCTTAGAGACTGATAAATTTTATCTTACATACGATTTTGTGGAGCCTGGCCCACCTCTTCAGATGCACAGAGTTCGGATGCATCCTCTATGTAGTACATATGACTCTCACACCCACATCTTGGGAAAGTTAGAAGGCAAGTTGGAGGCTCTGACTACAGCTCTCGGAATCCCTCAGCCAGGATGGCCAGTGCTGACTAAGTGATTCTGGAAGTTGTAGTCCAAAAAATGACTTCCCAAATCTAGTCCCCTCTAGGAGACACAAGGAAAGAAGTTGTTATTACCTGCAGGACTTGAAAGCTAGTTTGTTTGTGGGAATTCATGGTCTCATAAAGGATCAAGGTTATCATCCACCCAGTTGTGTACAGGGAACCCAGGGTTTGAAAAACAATAAGAATAATGGCCGACTTGTGTGGTTCTCATTAGGATATCTCTGATCAGCCACTGTGGGAACAAATTGCTGGGCTAGACGGGAATTTGGTAGAGGTCTAATGCAGAAATTACCATAACAAAACCGCATAATGATTTTAAGCACAACTCTGCATTTCGAAAGTCAATGGAATTCAGTGGCGGGGATGGAGATTTCTGAGTCACAGCATGGAGTACATGGAGCTCTGGGTTCGGGATAGGGTGGGGCAAAGAGAGGAAGTGGTGGGCAGGCTGACTCACCCACAGATCCTACAACGTGTTGTCTGCCAGGAACTCTACCAGAAGTCACAACCTGCACCGGCAACGCCGCACTAAGCAAACTCATCCTCTCCATGTTCCCCCTTGAATCCCACTCTGGAAAATAGGGCCTCTGTTGCCTCTTTCAACACAACAACTGTACAGATATCAACACCTCTCTCTTTCCTCCATGTGGAGCTGCTGCTGCTGCTTCCTCTTCTACTGGAGGTTGGGCATCATAACAGCTGTTTTTAATTTTAACATGTTTGCTTAAAACCAGACATTCTCTCTCTCTCTCTCTCTCTCTCTCTCTCTGCCATGGCCATAAACAGAACATGGCAGAAACAGAGGCCAAATGATAATTGTGTAAGTTACGTAACAAACCTTATAAGGTGGTGTGTGAAGAACTGTTTCCAGTCTGTGGCCCCCTTCAAATGTGTCCAGGGCCCCCCAGGGGGCAATATGGCTCCCTATTGAGAATGGCTGCATCTAAACCAGTCCCTAAGGTTTTCTTTTCAGCCAACAAATTATTCTCTTTCCTGCTCTTCTTTCTCACCTTTGATGATCAGTTGGAACAAGCTATCTTTTTTGTTTTGATTACTGTTCTCTGGCAAACGTAAAGATCTCATGCCCTGCTCCTTCAAATCCACCTCCCCTAAATAATTTTACTAGAGAGCTGAAATGCCATTATTTGGTTTGGGAGAGGAAGAAAGACAGGCAGGCAAACCATGGAGGCTGATGACTCCTATTTTGACAGGGCAGTTAATCTATATTGGGTTTTAGTCCAAACTTTACAAGAGACACGGAATCCTATCCCACCATAGGTCCAGCACCTTGATCAGCTCTTTTAAAATGTCAGTTTAAACCCAAAGCAAATTCATATCCGCAGCAGAAACTGGCCTCCTCTGTAGGTTATTCCCCTCCCTGCATTTTATCTACTGCAGGGGAAGAAATGTTAATGTTTGGCACCAGGAGAGGGAAAGAGGGGGATGACTTTGATTGGTCCAAAGTGGCACCACCCCCACACAACAAACTTTACATTACAGCCTAACTCTGAGAGAAAGAAAGGCGGGCAATTAAATAGGTGAATTACTATACACGTGTATCATAGGAGCATGCAAGCATCTACGTACTAAGGAAGATAAGGTATAATTGTTTCCTTTCCTGATTTACAATTTAAAAAAAAATTCCTAATGTTGAATATGCTTTTACAAATGAGACACACACCCCTTGGAATCCTGAGATCACCACTACTTGAAAATCACTATTATAGAAAATAATAAATCTAGAATGGCAAGTGCTATTCAGCAAATGTCCTTTATAGCTGCAAATAGCCTGGAACCAGATTATCTGAAACTGCATAAGCCAACCTCTAGTCATGAGATTGGCTGCAGGGGACCGGCTCAAGGGGTTATTCCAGCAATGTGGTTCATCAGATTTGCAGGAACAACACACACACACACACACATAGACACCTTTTGTACTGATGGAGGTGTGCAGTAAGTTGTTGTTCTAACTGTTGTTGATATTTTTGTATATTTCAGTTGCAAAGGAAGGTTATTTTAGTTAATCATACTCCTATTTCTCTTGTTTCTCGTGCCTACTTTGTAAATCACCGGGGGAGGGTTTTTGTTTTGAGCAGCAGGATAAAAATAGGGGGGTAAGTTGTTGTTCTAACTGTTGCTGATATTTCTGTATATTTCAGTTGCAAAGGAAGGTTGTTATTTTAGTTAATCATACTCCTGTTTCTCTTGTTTCTCGTGCCTACTTTGTAAATCACCGGGGGAGGGTTTTTGTTTTGAGCAGCAGGATAAAAATAGGGGGGGAAAAAACAAATAAAATGAAAATATAATATAATGTTAATATTTTAAATAAGCTAGTGCGAACTGAGCAGCTTCCTTTATTGTTTTGATAGAAGGACACCATGCCGCTGCTTTGTCTTTTCCTCTTTAATATGTTTTCTGTAGTAAGGGTCTAAGACTCTCTGCTCTTGATCAGCCCTTGTTCCTCCCTAGTGTGTCTCTATGGGTTTGAATCCTTCTCCAGTAATTTTAATTTTTTCATTCCCCCACCCCCATATTAGCAAGCTGAGCACAGAAACAGTAATGAACAGAAAAGCAATCAAATATGCTTAACCTTTTGCCTATTCCACCTGAACGGGCCTTGCCGAAACTGTATTTCAGTGTGACCCCATGGCAAAGTGCAACACAAAAACCGATTGATTTCCATGGTTTAACCATCGGGAAAAACTGGTGGACTTAGAGTAGCAACCATTAACTAGAACTGTCACTGGGAAGCATGGGAACATCGGACGCCAGACCCACTGGCCCATCCAGCCTGATGGTGTTAATGAATGATGAGATCCAAGCCTACCCCCACCCCACTTACTACAGTACATGACACAAAATTAATCACAAGTATTTCTAGTCCTTTTTCATGGTCTCTCTGTGCATTCTGCTCACTGAGAAAAGAATATGATTTTTTTAAAGGTAATTCAGGGCACATGGATAGTAGCCGTGTGGGTTTCAGAGACCTGGGGATAGAACCTCAGGCCTGCAGCAAGCAAAGCAGAAGCAAGAGTCTAAGTAAGGGCTTGTCTATATGGCTGGGCTGGAGAAGGGGCCAGAGTAGGCTGAATAGGGCATCTAGGAGGTCTGTTGTGCCCTTTGGTGCAATCCTCACATCAACTGGAATGTGGACCTCAAGCAACCCTATTTGGGCCACTGCAGCCTTGCTGTTAGTTTGCCATTATAATGAAGTGGCTTAAGAAGAGAGCCACTTCACTGTATTGGCTACATGAAACACTTCTTTGGCTATGTGGAAGAGCTCAGGATGTGGTGGTGGGGAATTAAGGATGTATGAGAGCAATGAATATGTACTGCATCACTTGAAAGAACAGCATTAGATATGTATTCGCTGTGGAAGAGCTCAGGATGTGGTGGTGGGGAATTAAGGATGTATGAGAGCAATGAATATGTACTGCATCACTTGAAAGAACAGCATTAGATATGTATTCGCGGTATGTGTGCCTAATACATATATTAATACAGATACCTAAACTGTAATACATATATCTCATGTTGTTTCTAAAGCGATGCAGCACATAATAGCTGGTCTAATGAAAACCGATTAATCCATAACCAGCCACTTTTGTTCTATTTTTGTTCCACTTTGGTTTTTTTCTGGTCTGTAGGTCGATTCTCCAGATCTAAGTCGAACCTAAATTTTGCAGCCAGAGAAGTCTGTAACTCGAAAAGTCTGTAAGTCGAGCCATCTGTAAGTCAAGGGTCCACTGTATAGTGAAGTGGCTTGAGAAGAGAGCCACTTCACTGTATTGGCACATGAATCACTTCTTTGGCTCTGTGGAAGAGCTCAGGATGTGGTGGTGGGGAATTAAGGATGTATGAGAGCAATGAATATGTACTGCATCACTTGAAAGAACAGCATTAGATATGTGTACCAGGTATGTGTGCCTAGCACATATATTAATACACATACCTAAACTGTAATACACATATCTCATGCTGTTTCTAAAATGATGCAGCACATAATAGCTGATCTAATACACACTTAATTTTTTCCCCACTTCCTTGGTCCCTCCACAGAGCAGTGTCTAGTGAAGTGGCACTCTTCTTAAGCTACTTCATAATATTAGCAAATCGAACAAGGATGGCTTGCCTTGGTTCATTTCCAACAACTGTTTAGATATGTGTACCAGGTATGTGTGCCTAATACATATATTAATACAGATACCTAAACTGTAATACATATATCTCATGTTGTTTCTAAAGCGATGCAGCACATAATAGCTGGTCTAATACACACTTAAATTTTTTTCCCGCTTCCTTGATCCCTCCACAGAGCAGTGTCTAGTTTGCCAATAACGTGAAGTGGCACTCTTCTTAAGCCACTTTATAATATTAGCAAATTGAACAAGGAAGGCTTGCCTTGGTTCATTTCCAACAACTGCACATGCTGGAAACAGACCAAAAAAGGAGCAATCTTACACACACCAAAGAAGTAGAAGCTAGAAATTTGCAGGTAGGACCGCTCTGAGGGTGGACTGGTTTGCTCCAGCAAATATGTCATCTGCTCGTTGTCTTTAGAAATGAACCAGGCCATTCCTGCAGAAGAGCAAACAGCAAGCTAAACGCCTTTTGCCTCTTCTGCATCCTACTTTTGCACTGTATACTCATATATTTCTATTTTGGCAACTAATTTTTATTCAAGAATTGTTGTTTTCTCACAGTGTTGCTGAGAATTATTGGTGATGGCAGTAACTGGGTTTCAGATATCAGACTCACTTCCTAACAACTGGCTTTACGGGGACTAAAGGAGAGTACACTCAAAGTGGTGAGATACTACCATGCAGCTCATAGTGGTGGCCCTTCCATCTCCCAACTGCCATCAGAAGTGGTTCTGAGGTGATTCCACTTTGGCCTGAGGGAATGGGAGACAAAGCAGATAAAATATGAGAAGCTGATTATCATTCAGCTCCCAGGGTTGGCTCGTCCCTCTAGTTACCGGAATAACTTCTGAGGAAATAATTTTGTCCTGAGGGGATGGTTGAAGAAGTTAGGACCAGAGAGCAGAAGGAGAAGAGAAAGAGAAGAAGAGAAGAAAGAGGAGAGGAATAACCCAGCAAAACATGCCAGCACAGAAAAAGAACAGAGGTAAAGTGCAAAACTGAAGCACAGTTGAATCCAGAATATATATATTTCCATCATCTTGGCAAGTCAGTCAATCACCACCATCATGTTTTCCCATCTTCTCTACCCTTTTCCTTATGTCTCATTTCTTTTAAATTGTAAGCCTTAGAGCACAGGCTTTCCAATTATTGTTTTTCTTAAGTCACTATGGAAGACATTTTTGCTTGAAGAGCAGACTAAGCATTCCTTACATTAACTAAAGCCAATTGATTAATCAACCAATCAATCACTTTAATAGCTACTCATCCACCTGCCCTTTCCCCCTAAACCCCAGTGATACAACCACACAGAGGGAATAGCTAAGGCGACTGAAAGCTGTGTCTTCTTCTCATACAAGACTTTGCTCATGCAATTGGAGAGATCAGATGAGGTGTGAGTGACACCAGACAACCTTAGCATCAGCAGAACCGGGGAACTTGGAGGGCCATTTGCTTGGATGTGGGCCTCAGCACATGCCTAATCATGTCAATCTCTGAGAGTAAAGACTAGACACGATATTTTTAAATATATTTTTCAGCACAGTGACCAAATTCTGCAGGAATTCCCCCAACTAGAATTCTGGTAGCTTTAGTCAAAACATTTAGGTTTTTAAAGGAGTTTCAGGAGACATACTTATTTTTTGCCAAGGCTCTGTCTGCAGCTACAGCCATTAAACATGGAGAACAGCATGGTTGGGGCTTTTTAATCTCCATGGGAACTGCACAGTATTAGAAGACCCATAATTTTTTTGATCAGCACCTTCTGTAGAGCCTAATGAGCAGAGAGCCTGCTAGCCCCTAATGCCTTGTAGTTGCCATGGAGTTCAAAAGGCTCTATCCATGTCCTTCTTCATGCTTAATGATTGTCACTGCAGAAAGAACCTGGACAAAGGACACACGTATATCCTGATAACTGCTCTAAGGGGTTAGATTTTTTTGGCCAAAGCTACCAGAATTCTAGCTGGCAGAATTCCTGCTGAATATTGGTAGATATAGTGGGGAAAAAAAATCCAAAAATGCCATGCCTAGTAAAAGCAGTGAAAATGGCAGGATGTGACAGAAGAAGGGAGTGAGGGACCACTGCACATCCCTATCCACACAGGATGGATCCTCCTTGGTATCCGTCTACTTCCAAGGATGCAGGTGACAAGCTACTTACCAGGCTGCTGTTGTTCCAGTCATGACCATGGGGAAGCCTAATCTCTACCGTAACACACCGGGAAGAAGGATATGTCCAAGATGAAAGCAGTACATGTGTTTGCAGGACTTCTGAGGACAGAGAAAATAAAGGAGAACACAATCAGATGGCCAGAGAGGGGACTTTTAGATAGCAAGATGGGGATGCTCTAGATAAGTGGCTTCTAGCTCACCCCCAGTGTTGCCATGATGTCTCTTGGACGACATGCTGCTCTTTTCTGCTCCTCCATTTTGCTTTGCATCCAGTGCAGGCGGCTCTACAAGGAAATGGAAGAAAGGTGTCACTTGATGTTAAAATATGAACAGGCCATGCTCTAAGACAACTTCGTAACTTTTTTTTCCAAGCAGAGACCATGCCACAGCATAGGGGAAGGCAACATGCAGTATGTGGGCTGTATGTGGACTCCCCAGGAGTTCAAATACATCTCCCAGCACCCATAGGCAGACCATTCCCTGATTCACAGAAAATGGGGTGGGGGTGGGGAGAGGAATTAAAGTCAGAAAGCCTCCTTTCTATGGCACATGGGAGAATTTTTCCATGAGAGAAGCGTAGAACACTCCTAACATATTTTTAGGTTTATTAAAATTGGGCCACTTGAGGGCACAAGGAGGGGGTCAGTTATATACTCAAATAAGTAAGGGGGGAAATTGAGGGTGGGATTCATGGGCACAGGTGCATGTTTCCAAGATCATGAGGTGGGCGTTTCTCAGCCACAGATCAACAAGCCTAACGAAAAGGGGCAGGAAGGCCAGGTATCTCATCCAGATGACAAGGGTACGGACAGATCAAGGCATAGATGCCGCCACCATCTTTCTCACCCAGCAGGCCAAGGCGTAGTGTCACCTGCACACAAGGGATGCAGTCTTTCTGTTTCTGGCACCGAAGCGTGTTGCTCATCTCCATGTGGGTCAGCGTCAGGATTGCACCTCGGTCGGGATCGGGCACTGTTTCTCCACACAACCCATCCACCTCTAAGACACACACACACAAAAATAAACTATACCATTCCCCTGTAAATCACTCAGGGTTACAGCTGCATTTATGGAGTGGATTTAAGACTGTGGTGTAGGAATGTGCACCCCCACCTGAAGAGGCTTCTCCAGCAATGGTTTCATCAACATACTGGACCATGGAGGTACTCAAACGGTCTTTAGTAACTCAATCTTATTATCGCTCATTATTGTTTTGACTTATTTACCGCCCACAGTGCTTAAAGCACTCTCTGGGTGGTCTACAACATAATTGTGCTAGGAACACTTTGATCTCCAGCAACCTGGATACTCGTTTTACCAACCTCAGGAGGATGAAAGGCTGAGACAACCTTGAGCCAGCTATCTGAATCTGTTGGGACTGAATTTGGCTCATGAGCAGAGGCTTGATTGCAGTACTGCAGTTCAAACACTGTGCCATGCATCCTGGGTCAACAGACTGAGGGGTCGGAGTTGTCCAGGAATGAGTAACACTGCACCCCTACCCCAAGCACTGGTTTCCTGCATCCCGCACCCAGTCTGTTCATCCCTCTTCACTGTGGCTTAGTTCTCCTCACTAGCACCCATCCACCTGTCACTCCTCACCTGTACCGAGTTCCACTCATTAGCCCCAGCGTCCCAGCCCTATTCACGTTGGGCCAGTAGTTCCCAGACAGAGGACAGTTTCCAAAGAGCCTGAGAGGTGCAATTGCTGGAAGTGGCCTATTTTCAGCATCACTACTGGATGAGTATGGCTTCAAGTGGTTGAGTGCCTTCAAGTCATTGCAGCTGATGATCTGGTAGTTTCGGGACAGGAGGGAGGAAATGGATGTGCCACCCCCGAATCCTCATCCCTGATCAGGGATGAGGATTTCACTCACTTGCCAGATCAAGGATGCCACAGGACATCCAGGCACACCTCTGTTAGCAGGCAGAATCCTGGTGGCAGCTCTTGCCATGCTTCTGCTGATATCTCCCCCTTGTCTTCCTCCTTCCCTTCCCCTCCTGTTCCAGGTTCAGCCCCTTCCATTCCACTGGTCCTCCCCCCCCCAGTGATTTACACCATAGTAGTTTCAGTCTCCAGCAAAAACACATATTTTTCTAAAGGGTCTCTCTATAGTCAGTCTGGAAACAAGCCGTCTCTAAATATTTGCATTGTGACAGGAATAGCTGGCAAGAATGTACTGTTGCAAAAAAAGGGGAAAAGGCATGTCGCTGACCTCCCAGCCAAGATACTCAACTTAGTTTTGAAGTCGTTCAGGGAAGTAAATGACATTATCGGCTCTGCTGATCAAAAAATCATGGCACTTCAATGGTTTTAGTTCTAGATAAACTACAACCCTGGTTGAGGGAGCACTGTACTTATTGAAGGGATACCCTTATATGTATTAGGTGCATTAAAGGAGAACAACATCATAGCTGGGTACCCTCAGATCTATCTGCTGCTACTCAGATCAGATCAGACTTACAGACTAGCCAAAAACAAAATGGTGCTCCTACCGATTCCAGAAACAGAATGTGGTTGGATTGGTCATGGGACAATGACTCTCACTGCACTTCAAAGCAACAGGTTAGCTTCCAGGTGTAGGGGGAGAACCTTTAAGGAGAGAATGTGTGCCAAGGAGCTTAGAATAGACTGTGTGGCATCTGGCACACCTGTAAAGTCTTGCTGCTGCCTCCTAGCACCTCTGTCCTGTTGGAGTTTTATTTCCAACCTCATACACTGTCTGTAGTTTGTGTGACTGGAGGGCACTTTTCTGGGCTGAGGTGAATATCTATTTTTCCAGCACTAACCGATTGTTAATTTCAGCCTTTGAATTCAAAGAGAGACCCACCTCTCTGGAGTGTGTCCCCCTTGTATCTCTGTTGGTGACAGTTGTTTGTTTGCTGTTGATCTGTTTGGTTTGTTGCTAAAAATGCATGCAGTAAAGAAGCATACGCAAGTCTATAATTCAAGTAACTATAAGTAAAGATATGTTTTTATTCTTTCTCCTGCAAATGTCTCAGAGTAAGTTATCAACACTTCAAGTGCCAGCTAATGAGAAAGAGGTGGACTCTGGTAAACTTGTAAGATATTCTCTTCTGTCAGTCTCTGTACTTCAACTATGTAATGAAAGGGAATTTTACCAGAAATTAAAATCTCTGCAACATGTCCTAAGGCAGCTGCTTCACTTCATAGGCCAGCTCTGAAAAGGGTAAAAGCTTCTAACAAATCCAGAGCAGTCACAAGAATTAATAGATGGCCCTAAGATAGACAGTATCTCCTGGGCCCCTTTCCTGTTTCTAATTCTTCACAATTTAACTGGAACTGCTAGTTGCTAGAACATCACTTGCCTTTTGCACACGTCAACAATGCGGCGGCGAACTATTGCAAAACAGAAAGGGCATGTGCTTTAAAACCACAACAATGGGTGTAAAACGAGGCGGTCTGACTGGTTTCATGACAAACTGGGTAGATGGCATGCTATTAGCACAGAGAGGGGGAATAGCTCTCTGATTGCTACAAAAACAAAACAAAGTAAATACTTACCCAGAATCCTGCAGCCCAGACCCTGTGGACAGAAAAAAAAATGACAGGTTCAAGGGCTGATAAGGATCCTGTCAAATACAAGCCACTTTTTCTCACTCCTACCCCAGAGTGCGACCGGTCTGGCTGAAGATTGAATGACACTGCTTTTACAGTATTGTGTACGCCATTTGTCTTAAACGTACCAAATCCATGCCAAATATGGGAGAGATTCTCCCAAAATGGCAATCTGAGAGTCCAGCCAGTTGCACATTTTTTCTTGTCACCAGATGCCGAGAACGGTGTACATCTAATGACAAGAAAAATGTGCAACTCTCAGAAAAGATCTCTTTGCCAGGAGCAATCTCCCCTGAAGTGACCTTTCTGGTCATTAGAGAATTGCTCCAGCCCGGCTCCAAAAAAAGTACTAGCCCTGCTGATGGACCAAAAAGGTCCAGCTTGGGTATGAACTGGCCTTGGCTGGCATGCTATTGCCTCTAGGTTGTGTGTGTGATCAGCGGGAAATAGCTTATGTTGGACTGTGCCACAAGCGGTCTAAGATGCAAGCTATATGCCTATGTAATCATTCCCTCAATATGAGAAGACTGTTTTTCTTGCTGTTGTTCTATGTACGTAGATATTTTTCTCTCACACAATGCAGAGATTGAGTGTCAACATCAGGTTCTGCAGAGACCCAGGTTTCAGCCTCAGCCATGAGTTCATTAGAACCTTCCAGAACACAGAGGCTAAGATCCTGTGGCTTTAACTTACATGCAGTGTAAAGGGATGTAAACTGTGTGGAGATTTCTTCAAAATTAAGCATTTATTATTCTTCCCCATCAAAGGTCCCAAAGCTGTCTAGGGACCCCTTTCATTGTGGGCAAGCTATTAGGGGCTGCAAGACAAGAGGGAGTCTTTAATTTCCTAAGCTCACAGCCAGTGGGATAACTTTACCAGTGCTTGTTAATTTTAGAAATTAGACAAACTCCCCCCCCCTCATCTTACAGCCCCCAGGATCTTCCCCATGCTGAAAGTTATCCCAAGGGTGCCCTGGGACATTTGGAAGCAGAATCATAAAACATTACAAAGAAAGAAAGAAAGAAAGAAAGAAAGAAAGAAAGAAAGAAAGAAAGAAAGAAAGAAAGAAAGAAAGAAAGAAAGAAAGAAAGAAAGAAAGAAAGACTCCCACTACAATTTTTACATAAAAAAAGCATTTTAATAGAGTAAAATCATCCCTTCTCAGAAAGCATAGGTTTCTTTCTCCCCCAAAATGAAAGAAAGAAAGAAAGAAAGAAATTTTCTTTAATTTTCTTTAATTTTTACATTAAAAAAGCATTTTTAATAGGGTAAAATCATCCCTTCTCAGAAAGCATAGGTTTCTTTCTCCCCCAAAATGGCCTACTTCTCATACATAAACATACACTCTAGTTTTAGTATCCTGTTCTGAAAGGAATAAACTATTTAACAAGAGCAACAGCACATATAAGGTGATCCCCCACCCCCCAAAAAACACTTTGTGACTCCTTGACCCCCTCCCCTTAGGGATCATGATTCTCAGGCCGGGAAACACTGCTCTAAGGAGATGATGCAGGGGGTCATCTGCTTTTCCTAGCTTCCACGCCAAAGTGAAAACATTCCCTTCCAGTTCTCCCCAAAAGCCTGCTCAGCATAACTGAGGGTTTCAGGGTTGTTTCTTACGGATCCAGTACCCTACATCAACATTTATCAAGATGATGGGCTTTTCAGCTTTTGAAACCCACCACAAAAATCAATTTATTCTTCGTCTGACCCATAAGACGAGCCCCTTGTTTTCTAGGATCTGCACCCATGTCATTATCAACAATCAAGCATACAAGCTGATGGATGTCTTCTTGATTTAGAAATAACTCATACGAACGGTTGCTGCCTGATTAATCTTCTTAAAGGCCAGGCTGCGACTAAAGAGAAAGAAAAAGAGCCAGGGTAAATGGGAAGGGCAGCCACTATACTGGCATAACCTGACCGGCTCCTTCTTTGCACTTCACGCGGGCACAATAACCTTTTATTCTGGCACTTGGCATTTATCGTCTCCTTGGTGACAAGCTCGAGGACACCTTGGCGGTGCCCAGGAGAAAGAAAGAGCTGTGGGAGCGCCGGCATCTGAGTAAAGCAACAGTAACAAAAACATGCAGAGGAGATGATGACCATTCCTGAGCAACCACAACACTCCTTTTTTTTTTCCACAACAGACTCCATGCGAGACCCAGTCCATGCTGAGCACAAGGAGGGGAGGGCACAGACTTATTGCTAGTTTATTTAAATTATTTTAAACGTATAATTTATAAGAGGGGAAGGGTGAGCAAATTACGCCTGAACTCCCACAAGAAGAGAAAATGACTAAACTGACGACGTAGTGTGAGAAGGTAAAAAGTAAAGGTTCCCCTTGACATTTTTAGTCCAGTCGTGTCCGACTCTAAGGGGTGGTGCTCATCCCATTTTCAAGCCGTAGAGCCAGCAGTTGTCCAAAGACAGTTTCCGTTGTCACATGGCCAGCGTGACTAGGGAACGCCGTTTTACTTTCCCACCAAGGTGGTACCTATTTATCTACTTGCATTTGCATGCTTTCGAACTGCTAGGGTGGCGAGGAGCTGGGACAAAGCAACAGGAGCTCACTCCGTCGCGTGGATTCGATCTTACGACTGCTGGTCTTCTGACCCTGCAGCGCAGAGGCTTCTGCAGTTTAGCCCGCAGCGCCAGCACGTCCCCGTTAACAAGATTAACTGGAAAAGACATGAAAGGTAAAGAAAGTTAAAAGGTGGCAGGAAAAGAAGAAGACCTAATACGAGATGCATTGACTGAGCAAAGGAATGCACAGCCTTTAGTAAGAGAGGCGTGAGCAGGGCGTTAAATGACAGGGCCTTTGGGAGATTCAAAAGGCTGCCACATCATGTCAAGTGACTTGATGTCACTCAACAACAACAGAGAGGCAAGGGAACATTTCCTTACCCTCTGAGGTTAAAAAGTTTAGAAGGTGAAGCCACAAGATGTTCCACATATTAGGTCACGCATCAATTTGTCACCCCAGGCATTGTGTGTGTGTGTGCACACGTGTGTGTATATGTGTGTATCAATGAAACATCACCACCACCATACCCTTTATCAAGTCCATTCAGCTGTCTACTGAAGGCAGGACACTAGTCCCTGGAACTTTGCTGTGTTAAAAAAGGCACCCAAGTTCAAACAGACACGCAGACGAACTCAGATTCCTGGAACTCATAAAACAAGCACGTGGGGAAAAGTTGTATCAGAGTTCATAGTTCTTAAAGACGGTACCTAAGTGTGCATACCACAGTTCGGCGAAAGATTGGAGGCTGAAATATGTGCCTGGACAGAGGCGTGGGTACGTCTTATCTGCATCTAATCTTTCTCCAAAGCCCTTTTGCTACTGAACAACCTAGGTCGCTAAATTACCGTATAAATGCAGGATGCTCATCCACAGACTTTTGTTGTGTTAAAGGCACCCACCCAGCAACCACGGCTTTATTTCCTCCCTAAATCTATGACATTCGGCCATACACATTATATACACAAAACCCCATGCCTACTTGCACACAATGTCAACTAAATGATTTAGAACAAGGAGGACCTGTCACAGGGAGGGGCGTTCTTAAGCTAATCAATTACCTCCTTTTTCGAGGTACTTCTTTACTTTCCCAAGCCTAGTTTTTTGGAGACACAACCACTGAGCTTGCTCAGTTTTCAATGAGCAGCAGTTTTGACCCCTTTGAGGAAGCCCTCCTTCGTTTCTTAACTTGAAAGGAAAACTTGTGCAAATCTTGAGTTTTGCCCCCAAGCCTCCTAGCACCTCCTCTCGCGTGGGTGGTGCAGTTTTGGCAGTTTTAGGATTCTAGGCTCTGAGTCACACTTGTCCACTTCTGTTTTACAAGGAGTGTTGTGGAATGATGCATACCCTACATTATTTTGTCATATGTACTGTGAAGATGCTGCTTCCACATTAAATCCAGTGTGGGTCTCTCACATCTTTCTCACCAGGAAGCCAAGCTGGGTAGGATAGTGAATAGCTCTAAAAGCTAGAGGTCAGCTTTCAATACAACAGTGTCACTGGGGCTTGGAAAAGCAGGTTTGGGGTTTTTTTCTTAAGAGTACCACTTTGGAACCCAATTTTTTCCCTTTCTTTTATACTCAATCTTTCTTCTAGCAAGGGGACTCAAGACGGCTGACAAAACTTTAAAAATAAAAGATTTCTCTCTCTCTGAATCATGCTAGCAACAGAATTGTAATTTCATGCTGAGAGAGAAACAGACAAATACATACATGCCATTAGACCAGTGATGAGGAGTCAAGAGAGAAAATATCAGAAAGGAAAGCAGACTGATCAGATCAGAGCCAAGAAAGTAAAGGGACTTGTCAGCAAGAGAAGTCCTGCCTCCCACTTCCACAACGAGGCCTAGGCCTACCTGTGAGCAGTTGACAGTGTCCAGAATTGCTGAGGGATGAAAGCAGGCAAAGGGTATATGTGGAAAGATCAGGGCAAGGACCCAGATCCACATTGCTAGGATCCTTGATGAGCTAAGCAATAGCTATACCCCATAATAAGTCATCACAGACCCTTTCCACTCCATCTCAGGACTTGTCTTCCTGCAGAATAAATCAGGTCCCGCCTGAAGAGCATGGATAGCACCCAGCTGGGTTCATTTCCTTGTTTTCTCTCTTCGGGAAGTGAGTCTCCTTCTAGCATTCCCAGCTCTTACAAGCCAGTGCAGAGGCTGGCATGTAAGAGGCTCTTTGCCAAGCCTCAGCCTCACTTCCCAAACCGCAGGAGCAAGGACAGCCCAGGATCTGAATATCAAAGCAGGATGCTCGGTCTCATTTTTCCCAACCACATTTGCCAGGATTTCAGCCGGCAAAGGATTTTAAGTCAGTGTTTCTCTCTTTTTTATGATACCTAAGTGATTACGTCAAAGAGGAATAAAGGTGGAGAGGGCGTAGCAGGAACTAGAAATGGGCTTGGAGGCGGGACAGGCTTGGCTTTGGCCTGGGCCTAATGCCAGAAATCGAGCTGAAGAGAAGTTTAAAAGGCTGAGGGAAGAAACATTCCCAGCCGGGTTTAAAATCTTACCCATTTCCCAAATCTTAGCTGGAGAAAAACTTAAGTTTCAGAGCATTTCAGAATGTTGTCTCCAAAAGTAGACAAAGTACAGTAATGTACTGAGGCTCTAACCTTTTCCAAAATACTTCTGACTTGTTTACTTCTATCTCCTGGCTCTTGTGGCTTGCCTATAATTTAAGCCTTTAAGCCTTCAAAACGCCGGACCAGCCTTTCATCTCAGTTTCCAAGAGGAAACTCAGGAAGCGGGTTCACTCCCTTGAGGTCTTGGTTGTGGACGGGGAGAAGCCGAGACAGGGAGAGAGGGACCGACCACCTGTAGGGTCTTCCAGGGACCTTCAGGCATCATCCTACCCACAGACAGACAGCTAGCTCCTCAGCTGGTGGGATTGGAAGTCTCCAGGTTGGAGGACGCCAATCTGGACAAGAGGGAAACCATCCTCTAGGTGGGAACCCTTCTTCAGGTGATGTGCCCGTATTCGGTTTCACTGAGGATACTCCTCATGGGGAGGGGGCTTCTGGTAGTGGGCAATGCAATTGTTAGGAACATAGAGCGAGGGGTATGTGATGGTTATGAAGACTGCATGGTGACTTGCCTGCCTGGTGCAAAGGTTGCGGACATCACATCTCGTCTGGGTAGGCTCGTAGAGAGTGCTGGGGACGAGCTAGCAGTGGTGGTGCATGTCGGCACCACCAACGTGGGGAAATGTAAGCTCCAACAGGACCTCAAAGGTAGCATTCTCGTAAGTACTACCCGTCCTACTCTCAAGGCCAGCTGGGCAGGCGGACCAAAGGTAGCATTCTCAGAAGTGCTACCTGTCCCTCTCTCGAGGCCAGCTGGGCAGGTGGACCTCAGGGGTCTCGATGCGTGGATGTCAGGGGGAGGGGTTTAGATTCATTAGGCACTGGGGAACATTTTGGGAAAATCCAGGCCTGTACAAGAGGGACGGGCTTCACTTGAACGGACACAGAACCAGACTGATGGCATGTGACTTTAAAAAGGTGGCAGAGCAGCATTTTTTTCCTTCGGCTGGAACACTTCACTTGAACGAACACAGAACCAGACTGATGGCAGGTGACTTAAAAAAGGTGGCAGAGCAGCATTTTTTCTTCTTCGGCTGGAACGGATTAATTGCATTTCAATGGGGAATGGTGCTTCGACTTATGACCATTTTGAGTTACGCCCATCTTCCGGAATGGATTAAGCTCATAAGTCGAGGCACCACTGTAATTAATTCATGAATTGCAGAGAAGTGAATTGATATTGTATTCTAGGAAGATTCCACATGTGGAGCTGATTCTTCTAGGTACTGGACACCCAACCCAGTTGAGGAAGATGTCTTGAATTTTTTTCTGAGTTTGAATTCAAGGAGACACTTGAATGTTGCAATTCTGCAAACAACTTGCGTATTGGTGCTGTTGCCTAGGATTTGGGTGTGTAAACTGTTGTTATAGTTGCTCATGTTATGTAACTGTGAATAAGACTCATTTTGTGAAATTATGTTTGGAAGGTTCATCAATAGAAATTGAAGCAAATAGATCATAGAACTTAAAAAGTGTTACACACGCAGCCCCCAAGGGCTCAAATATAGCCCCAGCAGCCTGCTCCAACCATTTTATTTTATTTTTTTAAAAATTGCCTTGTTTCCTGTAGGGGGTGTGGGGTAATTTTGCCACATTTTGGGGTCCCCAAATTTAAAAAAATGATTTGCCACTAAGGGATGCATGTGGCTATTACACTTAAATTTTTTTTAAAAGTAACTTGTTCTCAGGTGAGTAGGTGTGGGTGCAGGTCATGGTGGGGGTAGGACTTCTCTGTGTGGGCCTCCCCCCCATCTCTATTATATTTGTTTTGCTGGCTGTATTTATAGTGTTCTTGTGAGTGAGCTTGTTAAAAAAACCAAAAGTCATTGCAAATATGCTGTAAGATTATTTAGCAGAACTGTGCTTAAAATGTTATGTATTTATACAGTATATGCAGTTGGTATACTGCCGCACTTTGTGGCAACCCCACTACTGTACTCTAGGGCAATGAACACAGAAAATAAAGCATAAAAACTCAAATAATCCTTCCTATAAATAACAATATAAATTAATCACACAACAGAAAAACATATGGTGACCTCCAGATGTAGGTCATAAAATCATTAGCTCAGGGGCAGCATGTTTTTAAAAACTTCTTTGTAAAGTTCCGCCTTGACACATTTTCTAAAAATACAGAGGGAGACGGCTTGGGCGCACCTCCACTGAAGACATTCATTGTGAACACACAAGGATCTCCCTTGTCTTGTGACTGGGGGCAGGGTGGGGCGAGGCGGGGAGAGGCTTTGGGGTGGGACTTTGTGCATCCCCATCCACACCATACCTCAAGCCTGACTCAGACTCAGGCTATAGCACCTGGCCTTTCGCTGTCAGGGCTAGGGCCTACTTTGACGCAAAGCATCAGCCTTGGGGAGCAGATTTTGGGGGCACAATAACAGCAGTCCCCAAACCTTTCCTCATTCCTGTGCCCATTCTTGCCTGTTGGAAGGCACAACCGGGTGTACCACCTGACCTGTTCTGCATCTCCATGGCTCGTTGATTCAGCTGCACGTACAGTTTGCTCTTCTGTTTTGAACAGTGGAGGCCATCTTTTCCTTTGCATCATACAGTGGTGCCTCGACTTACAAACTTAATTGGTTCCAGAACTCCGGTCGTAACTCGAAATGGTTGTAAGTCAAAGCACCATTTCCCATAGGAATG